TTGTTTCCTTTTCTATAGTTTTTATGACCAATTAAGGGAGAGGAAGAAGCCTTTTGGGAATTTAGCTAAAATTCACTCGCTGTCTGAGGTCCGCTAACTGGTCATCTGAACTATATAATTTGTAAGTCATAAAATAGGTGATGTTTTCAAGATGAGGGCTGGGGAGATTCAAAAGGTAAAAATCCAGCAAAAGGAAAGAAAATAGTGGGGAGTTATGAATACCCTGGCAGTACAAGATACAAAAATGAAAGTCAAACTTCATTCTGCCTTTAGTTCTTTACTAGACATTTTCAGGCCCAACTGGAAGTCACAGGCTTTAGCAGAAATTGCTTTTTAAACCTCTGACTCAGAACAAAAAGCAGTTGTAGCCAGATGCAGTGGTGCACGCCTGCAATCCCACAGCACTCAGGAGGCTGAGGCAGGAGGAACACCAAGAGTTTGAGGCCAGCCTGGATTACATAAAGAGTTCAAAGACAGTCTGAACTACATAGACTGTCTGAAAAAAAGGAAACAGAAAAACGCAATTGTATTTTTAATGAGTAATAGGGTTGAGGCAGTTTGTCCTTTGTCCTTGGAACGCTCTCTGACTCCATCAGTAACTCACACAGAGCCTTTGGTAAATGTTAACCACTGGTTTCCAGGTAGCACCTCCCTGGTTGCTCTCTGTCCTATATTCTCACGAGGTAACTGATTTCTGTGTGACGACATATGGTAGAAATACACATGAATTACAGTTGATAAGGGGAGAGTTACACAAGGCTCATATAAACGTGCTGTGGGAGGTGTCCAGCGGGCCAGGCCTCGGGCTCAGTGCCTCTGGCCAGGTTTTTGTCACTGTCTCATTTCAGTTCCCATTCACTGGCTTGCATGCCATTGTTTTGTCCTTGTGTCCTCCAGAATGAATGGAAACCTGGTGGCCCTCACTCGCTCTCAGGAACTGAGCTTCCACAAAGGGAAAATCTCTGATTGGTCTCTGATTGGTCAGATGGCCTTAAGCCAACAGCAAGTTTTTGGAAGAAAAGATGTTAGTTTCACTTCAGTTACACGCTGGGGTCTATGGCCCAGTCACCTTGAATGCACCCAAACTTGTCTGAATCATGTAGTGGGAAATGAGTTACACCACACAGGAAGCTAAATCGTCAGAGTAATCAAAGCTCAGTAGAGTCTGCCTTTGGCTCCTGGTATATACAAAGTAGAATTCCAAACCCGTCAACAAACACCGCACAGCCATCTCATGCCCAGCTGTGAACACCCCAGCCTTCATCCCAGCAGGGAACTTGGAGCTACAGCACCCAGCCAGAGAGGGTAGGCTTTGACAGAGTGGCACCTAACAATCCTAGACGGGAATGCCTGAGATCCTGAGCACTATGAACTAAATGATACATTTAGCCACTCTTAATGTGCCACTGAGAATAACAGAGGATATAAAAATACATAAGGAGATAATGACCAGTTTTTAATTTTTTTTTAAAGGTACCAGGGCTCGAACTCATGACCTCGAGCTTGCCAGGCAGGTGCTTATACCGCTGAGCTAAATCCCTAGCCAGTTTTTAAATTTGACAAATGTAGGAGGAGCACAATATTGCCTAATCCCAGGGAAGACTCGGATTTAGAAAAGGGCATGTAGTGGGTGAGGAAAAGATGGAGCGAATGGAAGAGATGCAGAGATGAGACAAGATGGCTGTCCGTTTCTCTCTCCTCTAGCAGACGAGAGGTGGGTTGCAGCCCGGGTAGGGGGGCTGCACTGCTGTGTTCTGCAAGGTTGTTCTGGAGATCAGAATCCCTGTCTAAGATGTCCCGCAAGCCCTTGACTGGTGTCTTTATCTCCAAGTTCAAACTGCCCAACTTCACATCCTTGTCCCAGCCCCTGGGAAAGGGAAAGATGAAGTGTAAGGCAAGCAGCAGTCTCCTAAAACTGTCACTAGGAGCTGCTTATCACATCTATCACTTTTGCTTACACCCCATTGGCTAAAACTTCAGAACTACAGGAAGCCTCAAGGAAAGCTGGGAATGGTAGTTTCCAGCAGGGTAGCCATGGGCCAGGTGGAGCCTATTGGGAGAGCAGATGCTGAAACATTTAACTCTCTCCGCCCCTTTGGCCAGCATTTTGTATGTCTTTCTCCCCACAGAGCACTAACTTACTGCTTTCCTAAGGGAGTATATTATTCAGCCTTTCTATCTCTTAAAGGAGGAGTGATTTAATTTGGTTCACAGTTTAGAAGTTTAGGACCAAGGTTGGCTGGCTCCAACGCAGACATGGCATGATAGAGGGTACAACAGAGGAAAGCTGCTCACTTTGTGGCATCCAGGAAACAGACACAGAGAAGAGAGGATCCCAGAACAAGAATGCCCCCTTCTAGGTCATGCCCCACGTGACCTGCTTTTTCTAATCAGGTCCCACCTCCATTTTATATGTAAACCATAATATTCCACTCTTGGCCCACAGAAGGCTTGTTGTGTCTATCTTATTATCCAAAATGCACGTAGTGTATCTTGAGAGTTGCCAAAGTCTTAGCAGTTCCAGCATTTTTGAAAAGTTTAAGTTCAATGTATCTTCTGAGACTCAAGGCAAACTTAGCTGTGAGTCCCTATGGAAAATCCAAAAGAAAATGAAAAGCTTCCAACGTACAATGGTCTGAGTAAATATTCCCATTCCAAAATAGAGGAATAAGGAGATAGAAAGGGATCAGGCCACAGCAAGACCAAAACCCATAAGGGAAAACATTAAATCTTGTAGCTCCTTGTCTAACCCTAAGGCAGACTGTGGTGAAATGTGTGGGGCTTGGGTGACCCCACCTTTGTGGAACTGCAGGTTGCAGCCCATGTGACCCATTTCTTAGGCTCACTATGCACAGTTTTCCTCAGCAGACATTCCGCATCCTCCAGCTCCACCTTGCTGGAGTCTCTATTGTAGCTCTGGATTCACTCTCATAGCTTCAAGCATCGTCCCTAAGGATCTCCTGGAAGAGACCACGACCCTGTCACAATTTTTGTCTGGCCTCCAAGGCCTTCTTCAGAAATCTGGATGTGAACCTCTAATGATCCCACAACTCTTAGATTTTGCATGCCTGAAAAACTGGCACCATATGGATGATGCCAAGACCTGCAGCTGACTCTGTACCCCTTTGAATCATGCCTGCAGTGACCTCTGAACACCTGAGTGATGGAACTTGAAGAAGCAGCTCTTTCGGTGGTCCTGAATGTGCATAGTGCCCTGAGATTGTCTTCTCAAAAGAAAAGTCTTGCAAAGGAGATTACTCTTAAACCTGCAAAGCCATGGGTCTGGCCAATTCCTGAGATGCTTTCCAGCCAACTTTCCTATTGTTCTGATGTAAAGTACTTGATTTGTTTTTAATGTTAATCTTTTCAGGACCCATGCATTCCATAACCTCAGCTTTTCACATCTTTTGGCACTACTATTTCATCTTATTCTCACTATAAATATGACTGAAAGTAGCCATCAGTATCCACGCCACAACCTGACATTGGTCTGCCTTGAAATTTCTTACAACAGATCATTTAGTCCACCACCATTAAACTCAGCCTTATACAAAGTGTCAGGACATGGATACAATGTATACAAATTCTTCTGTAGGATGTAACATGAATGACCACTAGTTTGGCTTCCTATTTCTAACTAAATTCTTCTTCTTTTTTTTTTTTTTTTTTTTGTCTTTTTCCTTTTTATCGGTACTGGGGATCGAACTCACGACTGCCTGCTTGCAAGGCAGGTGCTTATGCCGCTGAGCTAAATCTCCAGCCCCAATTTCTAACTGAATTCTAATTCCTTATTCCTAACTGAAACCTCCTGAGGCTGGCCCATATGGTCCAGATTCCTATCAGTATTCTGACCTTCCAAGGTCTGACCAGAGTCTCTCCTCAATCTCTATTTACAGTATTCTAAGGCTGCTCTAGATAACATCTCCAGACCTTTCCAAACTCCTCCTGTAAAAGTTCCAGAGGCCTCTAAACTGTATGGTCAGGTACAGTCAGCAACAATCCCACTTTTGGATCAAAATCTGCAGTATGGTTTTTCCATCACTGAGACAAGGTACCTGATACCCACAACTTAAAGTAGGAGAGGTTTAATTTGGCTCATGGTATTGGGCCCCTTAGTCAATGGTCAGCTGGTTCTGAGGGAGAAATGGCATGGTGGGGGAAAGCTGCTTACCTCATGACAGCTGGGAAGCAGAAATAGAGAGAGAGGAGCATTATACACTCTCCTGGGCCACACCTCCCATGAGCCACCTCTTCCAACCAGGTCTCGCATCCACACACACGACTTTGAGGGAACATAATTTAGGTCTAAACCATAGACGCAAGGCAACCCATTGCAGGTCCAGATGTGGCTCACTGGTTAAGGGGCCAAAAGTTAATTATCTGCTCCTCCCCACTTCATGCCCACCACAACAATGTTTAAGGTAAAGAAGAGCAGCAATAAAATCTCACATCAGGAAAAGGAAGGACAGAGATCTCCCAGCAGGTGTAGGTTATAGTGCCATAATAAAAAGATCCCGAAGTATCGGGATTCATTCAATCATGGAGGAATTCTATTTTTCTCTTACATCACAATTCAGAGTAAGTAGTAGGGTGAATAGACAGCTTTGTTCTATGAGTTTCAAAGTTCCTTCTCTTTCGTCTTGTGTCAGTTCTTGTGACATAAACCAAGCCTGTCCCCCCCATTCTGTTTTCACCTTCCAATCTATGGGGAGACAAAAAAAAAAAAAAAAAAAAAAAAAAAAAAAGAAAATAACAGACAAGCAATCCGTGACCCAGGAACTTCTTGGTCATTTTGCAACACACCCCACTGGCAGCTTCCTTCCACTCTGGCAGCCCCTCCACCAGGATGGAGATGGGGAAATGCAGACAGGGGGCTTCTTGGGAAGAGCTGCTGAACAATGGCCCAGGAGTCTTCTAATGCTTTAGGAATGGGATCTCCTACAACATAGATAGCAGGAGTACTCTTATGACCAGACCACGAGGCTCTCCTCTCTCCCCAGGGTGCAATGTAGAAAATGCCTGCTACCCACTGGGCACTTGTGCTGAACGGACTGCAATCCAGAAGGCCATCTCCGAAGGCCACAAGGACTTCAGGGCTATTGCTATCTCCAGGTGAGTGGGACAGGCAAGTCACAGTGATGACATGCTTCAACCAACATCTCCCAAGCTCCAATCAGCCATTTGTGCATCAGATGCCTGTCTACTGTGTACTTTTTTTTTTTTTTTTTTTTTTGTCTTTTTCCTTTTTATCGGTACTGGGGATTGAACTCACGACTGCCTGCTTGCACGGCAGGTGCTTATGCCGCTGAGCTAAATCTCCAGCCCCTACTGTGTACTGTTGAATACCAGGGCCAGGTCAGCTGACCCTTGAATTATGCATTCAATGTTCCCTGCGGGCTGCTTGTAACTCAAGCTGTCAATTGGAGGCTCACACTCCTCTACACAGCCTTGAAAGTCTCCCCTGTATCCAGGCGGATCTCAGTGTCCTCAGAGAGACACTGGTCCAGGATATCTCAATTAATCCCATTCAGGAAAGGATGTTGTCATGTTCCTTCCAAAGCTCCTTAAAGGATAAATCTATATCTGAGACCACCTGGAAGCACATGCAACCAGCATTCAGGTCCTAACTCAAGATTTTGGTCATCAGTTAAAACTAAACTTTCAGTCATAACCCAAGCTGTTCATTTGTCAGACCAGTCATAGCTCAAGGGTCCACGGCACAGGACCCTGGGCTAAGGGAGCAGAAAGAGATAAATAGCAAATGGACTCTGCCCTCGCTAGACTCCGAGCTTATGGAGTAGATAAACATGGAAGGCAATGCTAACACAAGGATAAGTGCAGTGTGTTCCAGCTACAACGCAGAGTACAACAGACACCCCCGGAGACACAGCAGAAAGGCAGCACAGAATCCCGTAGCTGGAGGGACCTGAAAGTGACCTGGCACAAACTCCTTTGCCTCTAGTCCCATTTTACAGCTGAGAAAACTGAGACCTAGAGAAGTTGAACAGCTCTCTGAAGAGCAGAGCTGGGGAAAAACCCAGGTCTTTGAGACTCACTCAGGGCCCATTCCACTGTGCCATGCTGTGCCAGGATGCTAGACACTCTCTTCCCCACTTTCCTTGAGCTGATGTGGGGTCCAGAATGAGCTACTCATCCACGCTAGCTCCCTCATCGGCCAATGGTGATTTCTAGTGTCAGAACCAGGATACAAAGACAAGCCATGTAATCACCAACTATGGTTCAGACTAATCAGACTCCTGCCCTGCCTCTGGATGAATGGGAATCCCAGCCAATTCTCTTTGTGCCCCAGATATAAATATCCTAGTTCCTATAGGCTTCCCTCAAGAGAAGCATGCTGGGTTCTTCTTTTTTTGTGTGTGTCTTTTTCGTTTTTATCAGTAGCAGGGATCGAACTCATGACCACACACCTGCAAGGCAGGCGCTTATGCCGCTGAGCTAAATCCCCAGCCCCCATGCTGGGTTCTTGATGGTGCTGGTTCCACACTCAGTGACTTCCAAGATTGAAATGTGTGAATGAACTATTTTCCTAACTTTGACCCCCATCAACCCATCAATTTGATTGATTAATTGATTGATTGATCAACCAATCCATCAATTTAATTGATTAATTGATTGCTCGATCAATCAATCCATCCATTGGCTTGCAGTACTGGGGACTGAATCCAAGGCCTTTGCACTGAACTACACTTCCAGTCCTTTAAAAATTTTTTTTTAATTTTGAGACAAGTTCTTGCTAGATCACTAATTTGCCCAGGCTGGGCTTGAACTAGCCATCCTCCTGCTTCAGCCTCCCAGAGCACTGGGAGACCAGGCATGCACCACCACAAAGCCAGGTTACTGCATCATGACCCTTTTGTTGACTTTGCACCGTGGGCTAATTTAATTTTTGCATGTTGAATTCCTTTTGTGTGCACTTATGCATTCTGTGTGAAGCATTTTTCACGTTAGCAGTTTTAGGAAGAATGACATAAGAAGTGCTTAGCACACCTTCAAAAGGACGACATGGGAGACCAGGTGTTGGTCTTTGGGGACATTTGGCCACCATAGTGTCATAAATACTATGAGTGAATTCCTGCTTTACTGGTCCAGAGTTACAGGCCCTTGCTGCAGGAATGCTGAAAGCTCAGAGGCTCAGAGAGAGGCCAGTGAGGACCACGCAATAGACGCGAGTCCACAAGGCTTTTCTGAGACCCTGAACTTAGCAGTCTGTCCCGGAATAAGCTCCAGGTTATTCAAGAGTTATTTGTAACTGGTCACTCAGACCAGAGTTAAGAGTAACTGGTCTGAGTGACCAGTGCCAGAGGAAGAAAGCCCCCAACTTCTCAGAGCCTTATCTCTGTGCCCTATCTCTGTCCTGGCTTCCTTTCAGCTTTGGAGAATAAATGAAGCTGTGCTGGGAACATTTCGTGCAGATGAGCAGAGATCAGGATGTGAGTTGCACTTTATGAAAAGGGGAGAAATAACTCAATTTCCAAGATGATCCAAGAAAATAATTATATTCTAGGGAGATACCAAAGTCAACAAAAGGATCACGGTGCAAAGTCAACAAAAGGGTCACGGTGCAGTAACCTGGCTTTGTTAGAATTTTCCAGGTGACAGGATTTTTGTCTTGGTCATTATCTACTTTTAAACATGAGCAGGTATTGCTAACAATGATTAGCAAATGTCCTTAATCACAGAAAGCCTGTATTTTTCTCAACATCCAACTTCTCTGCTTGGCATATTCAGCCTGCACCTGCATCCCTGAGCCAGAAACTGGGTCATTATTGCATTAATGGTTTATTAAATAGAGAACAGGGATTTGGAAGATGAGCAGGAAATGCCAACTGCCTTTTCAATACGGAGCAAGGCTGCATAGCCAGAAATCCCCTCTGGATCGTGAAGGATGGAGACTGTACCCAGGAGATGTGCGGGTGTCTGCAGAGCCAGAGTGGACTTGGCTTGCAGTGATGCATCTGTCCTGCTGGGCTCCCCGATGCATTCATCAAAATCAATAGGTTTCCTGCCTGAAAGCCTGACCTCAGGATGAGGCCAAAACGGCACAAAATATAGAAAACCTTCGAATACAGGGAAAGGTAGGACAGAGCAAAGGGCAAGAGAGAGGGAAGAGGAGATGTGGGAGCCTCCTCCTGGCACAACCAGCTCCTTCCGGATCTGAAACTCACACTTGGAGTGTTGGTCAATGGTTACAAGCCCAGGCTCCAGGGTTTCAAATCCTGCTGTACCGTCAACCTCAGGCATGTGCTTGAATCTCTGAGCATGACTTTGTGTCTGTGAAATGAAAAAGCATAATCTAGTAATTGATCTATTCGAGGTCTCATGAAAGGATACCTTTAAGTCACCACAAGCAGAAATACTGATAGCACAGAACACAGATTCCAGGTTCTGCCACTTACTGGGCAAACTGCTTCAGCATTCAGTAGTCAGAGCATGTAAGTGATGAGACCTGTGTGCCCCTCATAATTTACAGGGCTGTCGGGGATTAAATGAGCTAATGTATGTAAGGTCCTGGCACAGTCCCTGCAGTAGTGCAGAGTACACATAAACCCTTATTCTTCTCAGAGCGTGGCTGCTTGTGTGCACCATCTGTTGATGTTTGATGGCTGAGCCCCGGACCAAATCCGACTTCCTGATAATGTGTGTGATTGTCCACCTCCAAGACCCCAGGATAGGTCACCTTGTCCACAGAGCTGTTCACTGGCTAGCTGAGCACTGAGAAAGGAAAGTAGTAGCCTGTGCAGGAACCAGATCACACCGGGCCCCACAGGTCAAGGCAGGGAGGCTGATTTCCCCTCTGAGCACCTCCTCCATGGTCAGCCTTCGTTAGAGCACTGTCCAGCAGTGAGCAAGGGCCTGAAGGCAGGGACTGCTTACTGCTTTTGTTGTTTTTTTCCCCAAGGTGATCTTCGGGCAAGCGCTTGGTCAACACAGATAGGACAGAGGAAAATTACACTCCATCCTCCAAAGGGCTTATAAGGGGCTCTGGCTGCCACAGCTGTCACCCACTAATTGTGAGAGTCCCACCCTCTTGTGTTCCTGTGGACTCGTCTTCTGAAGTTTAAAGCATACTCAGTGAGAACCCCAGCTTTCCACAGAGCAGAACCACTCTTTGACAGGGCTCCCACATAGGAAGGCACCCCTTTGTGCTTGGTCTTCTCAGCTTTTTATTCCGTCATAGCATCTGTGCCCGTCTCTGTTTAATGTCTGGTTGGTTGGTTCCTGGGTTGTCGAGTCCGTCAGTTGTTTGATGGGCTGCTGGTTGTCCGGCACCTCTCACTACTCTATAAAGTCCTGGACACAATGATTTCCTCTGTTTTGTTCACTTCTATGTCCTCAGCACCAGTTAGAGTGCCTCGCACATAATATTTCCTAACTGAAATGTCATGATGCATATGCATCACTTTCCAGGATGCTTAGCATATTCCAGACACATATGAAATGATTTTGAACAACTGTTGCTCATATACAGCAAAATTAACTGTAATACATAGAGCACATGGCACATAACAAACTGTATGTGGTAAAGGGCTAAAACTATGACAGAGCTCATGTACGGGAGGGAATAAGTGTCCAGAAAACAGTACAGACTGGAACAAACATGGGTCTAGCATTCTAAAGGTCTCAGAGCCTAAGACAAAAAAGAAAAAAGACAAAAAAGGCCTCAGAGCCTTTCAGATACTTCATCTCATTGTGTTTGTCCTCTTGCAGTAGACACAGTAGGTGACGTTATTACCCACTTTGGCAAAGAAATGAGGCTCCGATGGGGTTAAAATAAATCTAGGTCACATGTAGTTAGCAAGATGAAAAATGAGCCAAAAAGTCAAATTGAAATCACATGATGTCCCAGAGATCTCGCAAAGCTCTGGGTTCAGAAGGGCAAAGGTGGGGGGCGGGCTTAACCTCTGGCGGTCCAGCAGGAGCAGAGGCTGCTGTGGTAGGACCTGTCTTCTTCAGTAAGCAGTCGCATCCCCACCAGGGTTGGAGGGCTGCCTGAGTTCTCTCAGGCAACTCTAACTATGAGCAGCTCTTCTCCTGGCTTTGTCAGAGGCAAGGAACCAAACTTTCTCTTTGATTCACACACAGGACCTTTGCACAATCACTATTTATTTCCTTTGCCCACAACTCAAAAAAAAAAAAAAAAAAAAAAAAAACAACCCTGGGCCTCTGAATAACATCTCTGTTACTTCGTTCCCCTCAACCTATTTCCTCACCCTTAAAATGACCATTCTGACATGCAGGCTTCCCTGAAAACTAAACAAAATAATGAATGTCAAATACATTCATTAGAGTAAAGTAGTTGCTCGCTAAATGGCAGGAGGTGAACTTTAGATTTCTTCCAAGGACAGGGACAGACAAATGCCATTTCCTCTATAAAATAGTCTCCCTCGCTCTGGTGGTGAGGCTTGTCCCCCTCTTATTGTGTGATCTTCCTGCATTTTGTTTAATATAATGAGTCGTCTGTGTCACAATCTGGGCTGAGCTATCTCTTGAACACCAGAGACAGCTTTTCCTGCACCCCCGAATGTGGGTGGCAGTACATGCTCCCTCACCTCGTGATGTGCAGAAAGCACCAGGTCACCTTCTTCTCAGCACGTCTGTGGACCACGAGCTGCTGACAGGGTCTGACCTGATCGGGGACGGAGCAGAGTCAGCATCCAATTCTTAGTAAATGTCCCGATGCCTTAGGACAGACTGACCTAAGTTCCATTCTCTGCTTCCCCAGTGACTTGCAAGATGACTTCATCTCACCATGTGGGGCCTGCAGGCAAGTGATGAGGGAGGTAAGAACTTCTCTTCTTCTTGGAACATAAACACGATGTAGCTTGGTGATAAATGTGTGTGCCAGGCTGTGGGAGCGATGCCCAGCTGCCGGTGAGGAGACACAGTCCCTGTCCTGTTTGCACTGCTGGCCGACTCCTCAGCCTTCCCAAGCCTGCATCAGTCACTGGGAACAATTCCTTGGTCCAGAAGGTACTTATGAAGTGAGTGTCATGGGTGTCAGGGATAAAGCCAGCTCTGGGGACCAGACAGACCAGGCTCTGCCCTCTGTGAGCTCAGTGTGTAGGGCAGAACCAACCACAAACACTGGGAGTAAATTAAACAAGCAGCAGAGTTTCTGAGAATGAAGAGAACAATAGTAGGAAAATATAGAATGACAGAGGGCCGCAGGAAGTATCCTAGATTAGCTTGTTGCTTGTTTTTGTAAATAAAGTTTTATTGGAACACGGCTATGTCCATTCATTAATGCCTCGGCTAAGATACAACAGGCAAAAATCATAAGCAACTGGGGCAGAACTGTATATGGCAGCTGCTCGTTGTTTGAAAGCTCCCGCTTTGGGAGCTGTGTTTGGAGGAGAGCGGATTGTTTCAGTTTTGTGTTTCTGCCTCGGGTTTTCAGGGCAGCTGGAGGCTTCCACACCTCCGCCTCCCTCTGTTCAGTGCCAGGACTGCAAACCAAACAGTCTGCAGGATGCATTTCCCAGACCCAAATGCAGTACGCCACCCTGAAGGCACCGGGTTCACGCTATGGAAATCATCTCACTTTAGGGAGGCAGACACAGCTGCCCAGGGCAGCAGCAAAGTCTAAGGTCACCTCAATAAGCCACAACACAGCGCCAAGTCTCCCAAGGTCCCAACTTAGCCCAGCTACTCATGGCTCTTTTCTCCAAACAGATGAGATATTGGCAAATGAGAGCAGGCGATGGAAAAGCAAAGGGAAAATAAAATGCAAATAATAAGACATGAGGCTTGGGGACCGGAGACCTGGCGCTGAAACTCAGCAGCTCTCAGCTTTCATCCATCCCTTCAGGCACAGCCTGCCAAGCCGAAAAATGCCCTCCCTTAAAACATCAATTCTGAAAAATCCAGAAGATTGATGATGTGTGGTAATAACTCAGTGATTCAAGCAGAGCACAGGAGAAAAATAGCCTGCAGGCCTGAACAGTCCCTGCCATGCCACACAATCAGAGCGGCCACCATTAACTGAGCACCTACTATGTGCCAGCATCTGCACACAGATGCTTCCCACAAACCATCCCTAAAGCTCACCATACCTAACTAGGCAGAACCTGAGTCCATTGACTCCAACTCTAGGGCTCTCCACATTGTCCCCGCTGATTTAATTCCCCATCTACTACCTGTTTAGCAACTTCTTCCATTTCTGAAGCCACTACACAGATCAAGACACTGAGCCCCGAGTAACTGTCATTTGCCTGGTGACCATACTGCAGAAGAAAGATCAGGAGACATGCTTGTCTTTGCTGACTTCACCTGCTGAGCTTCTGTTTCCTCAACAGTAAAATGGGTATAACAATCGCCTTTGTGGGATTTAGCTCAGCGGCATAAGCACCTGCCTTGCAAGCAGGCAGTCGTGGGTTCGATCCCCGGTACTGATAAAAAGGAAAAAGACAAAAAAAAAAATCACCTTTGTGTCCAAGGCTCGGCGAGGAAACAGTGCAAATGCAGTATCTAGTGTGTAATAAAGCAGGCGTGCCCCTTCTGCTGGTGTAAGGAATAAGAGAGAAACAAGAAATGGAGTAGTTATTTACTGTCATTTGTCATAGCAGGCGGCAATCTGGCTCTGAGGTCCAAGTACTCTTTTCACAAAGCCCTATCGAGTCCTCAGTGGGGTATTTACGGCCACCTCTCCACGTGCTATGCACCAGCATTCTTTCATTTCTTCCTCCTGCAAGCTCCAGGCACAGTTATTGTTATTCCCATTGTACAGATGAGAAAACCAAGGCACGGGGAAAAACATTAGGCAGTAAATAGTAAAACCAGACTCAAACCCAGATCCCTCCTAATCCCTCAGCCACGCTACCTGCCTCACCCTAGCTTTATCTCTTTTCTAGTTTGGCACCGACTGGGCTGTGTACATGACCAAGGCAGATGGCACTTATGTGGTCAGAACACTCCAGGAGCTGCTGCCTGCGTCCTTCGGGCCCGAGGACCTGCAGAAGATCTAGCGAAGGCTGGAGAACGCCCACTGCCAGAAGGGCTTAGGTTCCCACAGGTGCTTAAGGGACTGACACAGGAAACCTTTGGAAAGATGCCAGCTTCGGGACACCTGCCAAACAGGTCCCAGCCTTCCTGGTGCTGGGCAGAGATGATTTTTCCTTATAAAGCCAAGTCTGGCCTGCTTCCCCAGCAGCTGCCCGGGATTCTGCCCTGTGCTGGATGACTTTGCTGATTATAAACATCACAGAACATCCTGATTCAGAAGAAAGCATTTTGTTCTTTGTCTCTGTTGTTATGGGGTGATTCATCTTTTGAGAGACACTTGGATGCCCTCTGTTGGGGGAGGAAATGGGCACCTTGGAACCCTGCACATTTGGTGTGGAAACTGAGTCCTGTAGTTTCCTGTCCCTGTGATCCTGGGTAAGAGACCCCTAGGCTGGGCCTACTGCCAATATCCATATGATGTAGTCGAATCTGGAATGTTCCCCAAGACCACATTACAAGCTTGGCCCCCAGGACAGGGCACCATTCGGAGGTCCTCAGACCACTGGGGCTGTGCCCTTGATGGAGCCTGTGGGTCCCACTGGCTTCCTCTCTTGTCCTTCCTGGCCTTGAGGTGAGTGGGTTTTGCTGCCCACTGTGACGGGCACCTCACCACAAGCCCAAAACAGCACGGCCAATGAATGGATCACGGACCAAAACCTGCAAAACTGGGGCCACAATAAACCTTTTCTGCTTGACAGTTGATTGTCTCAGGTGTCTGGTACGGTGATGCGAAGCTGACCAACACACTATCTCCAGTCTGAGTCTGGTTTTGTCTCAGTGTAGACCTGAGCACCGGCTGCATCCAGCCCCATGGCCACAGCTGCAAGCGGCTCTCAGTGTAAAGCAGGAGCCACAGGACCTACTGCGCGCTGTATACTCTGAGTGTGTCGCTCCACAGTTTGGGAGGCGGGCTTTCTCCTTCTGATAGAGGAGAGCAGTGCGACGCACAGGCTCAGCACCTGCTCTAGGACTGTAGCAAAGCCCAGCACAGCATCCAGGTCCCTTGACCCCACCACCACCACTGTGGACCAGGAACATACGGGTTCTTTGTCACATACTAGACTAGGGCGTTCAGCACATACAAACCCATTCTACCTATGTGATAAACTCAAAGGTAAATATTATGATCATCTCTCTGCCAATAAGCACCTTGAAGCTCAGAGGGATGAAGTCATTTGCCCCAAGTCACACAGCTGATATGCAGCAGAGCCAGAATTTGATCAGGTCTGTCTGATGCTATATATTTTCCCTACTTTTACACAGCTGATGTCTTTCATGGTGAGTACCCTCTATATGTCAAATGTGCTAACCACCACAGAGAAAAAGATGTGTAAGTAACAGTCCCTGTCCTCGAGGACCACGCAGTCAGACAGGAAGGGAGAGGTGGGAACAAGTCAGGTAAATAGAAATACACCCTGCGATCCAGGCAGCATCCAGGGCAGGAGGGCATGGTGGGGGCATGCCATGAGCGGGGCCAGGGAGAGGGCTGTCTGTTTCACTGGTGTGTTTGCTGTCACACACATGCACATGCACAAACACACACCAGGACTGAATAAAGGGAAGGAGCCAAGGCTAGTCCTCCAGCGGGTGTGACATTTCCAGAGTCCTCTCAGGAGGAGCTGACATCCTGGCTGACTTAGTGGGCGGAATAACAGTAGCATTTAAATTCTTTCTCACAAGAAAGCATTTCCTGGATGCCGCAGTTTGGACCTGGAATGACCCCAAAAGGCTCATGTGTTAAAGCCTCGGTCCCCACGGTGGCTGTACTGGGAGGTGGCAGAAGGATCTTAGGTGGCTGGGGGCATGCTGTTGGAGAGGATATTGGCGCCCTCAGCCCCTTTCTGTTTGTTTTGCTTCTCAGCTATCATGAGGTGAGCAGCTTCCTCCTCATATCCCACCATGATGGGCTGGCCCATGAGGGCCAAGAGGCCATGAGCTGGAAACTGAGAAACTGTAAATCAAAACAAACCTTTCCTCTCTTTAAATTGACAGCCTCGGGTATTTTGTCACAGCAACAGAAAGCTGAGTAACACACTGGAGAAAGGGGATCTTTTCCACCCAGATCCAGAGCGTTGACAGGCATTGTCGGCCTGAGAAGGTTTACTTTTCCACAACACACCCAGACTGATCTGCCATCATCGTGGGAAATAGCAGAGCCTTTCAACATTACAAAACCCCACTCTGCTTTTTATTAAAATGGGTTTGTATTCAGAAGGGCATACTGGGACTTTCAGTATGCCCCTCTGAACATTCTCAGCAAAAGCAGGAAAAAAAAATTTCAAAAAGGAAGAAATCAGAAGAAAATGCACCAAAAGATTAACATTAGTTAAAATTCTGCTTGTTGGGAACATGGATGATTTTTTCTCTTGTATATTTGTATGTATTAATTTTTAAAATATTAAAAGTTAGCAAAAATATAAACAAAACGGTATTGTGTTATTGTCAAAGGTTTGCATTTGGCTTTGAGTGGTTTCTAAACTGTGTGGTTTGGGACAAGTTATTTTATTATCCTGAGACTCAGTTTCCTCATCTATAAAATGGGAATGGTGGTATCTAGCCCATGAGAAGGTAGTTAGGACTGAATGAAACTCTGCAATGCTGAAAGCCTGGCGTCTCATGCTCTGTAAGCTCCTGAAGAATGTTAGCTGCTCACCTTCATTAAGGTTTTAGTTCTTTGAGGATGGATTTTAGCCAACAGCATTTTGCAACCAACTTATTGATCCCCTTCACTATTGTTGACGGTGCCTACTGTGTACCAGGACTGAGACCAGTTCCTGGGGACACAGAAAGCAATAAGGCAAATCCCTGCCCTCCTGACCCTCAGGCAAAGCTGCCCAGGAAAGAGGACACTTCAGCCAGAGCTCAGAAGGGCTCTCTCTCTATGGTCTGAGGAAGGTCCTGGTGATCTTGCAGTCCACAGGAACAAACAGGGAAAGACACCTCCCAGAGAAAGAAATTATTTGAATTACATCCATTTGGAAGAGTGATACTTACTTGGCTTCAGAGAGGCTGAGCTGTTTGCTGAAAACAAAACAATGCCAGATGTGATGGCACATGCTTGTAATCCCTGCCTTCTGGGAGGCTGAGGCAGAAAGGTCAAAGTTCAAACCCAGCTGCGGTGACTTAGTGAGATCCTGCCTCAAAATAACAAATTTAAAAAGGGCTGAGGGTATAGCTCAGCAGGAAGGTGTTGGATTCAATCCGTAGTACTAAAAACAAGAAAGAAAGAAAAGAAAAAAGCACTTCATCTGCAGCCCCGCTGTACAGAACGCGGCTGGGGGGATCTGGCTTTTCAGACTCCTACGCTATTGTTCAGTGTTGTCTGTGTGTTTTAGGACCCTAAAGCGTGGTCCCAGATTCCCTTGGACATAAATAGAAGCATCCGGGGTTCAGATGTTCTCTGCAGCTGCTGCTGATTGCTTAGGTGAACGATAGGATCCCTTAGGACTTCCCTTGGACAGGGAAGAGGGTGCCCCTGTAATGACGGACACTTGGGGGGCTTTAATGCCTGTGTCTGAAATACTGTTAGAGAAGAAAGAGGACTCGGGGTGTAGCTCAGCGCCCGCCTACCATATGCAAGGCCCAGCGGTGATCCCCAGCACCACTGAATCAAAAAAAGAAAACAGAGTGGCCTAATCAGCCCTGCACATGTGTGCTGTTTTGTGTACAAGTGCAGGCGCTCACATCCAAGGGACACCCGGCCTGATGAAACTGGCAAATAGTTTTTATGGTTTATGGGAAGGAAAAGTCTGGAGGGGAAAAATTAAGCACTACAAAGAGAAAAATACGTGCACAATAATTGTACTAGTTAGCTATTGTATAGCAGATTATTAGAAAATTTAACCATTCAGGACAACGAATGTTTATAATCTCACAGCGTCTGCAGGATGCTGGGCTGAGCTGGTTTTCTCACAAGGCTGGGTCCATGGTCTCCTCCAAAGGCCCGATGGGCTCCCCTCTCAGGCCACCCCAGCACAGCTGTTGGCGGGATTTGACTCCTGGTGAGCCCTTGCTGTGATGATCAGGTCTCCCAGCTCCCTGGGGCAGTGTACGCCATGGCTGCTGGCTTTCCTTGGAATGATCAAGAGAGGGTAAGCGAGACGGAAATCAGTCTTTCCCCAAGATCTTATTCCTTTGGACATATTTGTGATTAGAAGCAAGTCACTGAGGTCCAGGCCACATTCCTGGGAAGGGGGACACATAAATACAAATGCCAGGACACGGACATGCTGAGGATGTAGAAAAATGAGAATGCACAGAGGCAAAGGGAAAAAAATCAAACAACAGTAGCTAGCGGTGGCAGGAGGGTCAGCAGACGCAGGGGTGTTGGTCTCACAAAGGAGTTTAACCTCGTTCCAAAGGGCACTGTCAAGACCAGGGCAGGCGGCAGGGTCATCTTTGTGCCTTGTGAATAGCTCCGTCTGCTGAGTCACAGAGTAATAGGGATGTAAAGAAAGCTATCTAGAAAAAAATAGCTGAATGAGTGAAATATTATTGTCTTTGGTTTGAGGCTAGGCTGTGGGAGCATAGGGACAGGAGATGGTCACTTTCATTATGGGCCTATGTACATGCATTGTCATGTTTTTTAAGTCAGGTATAAAATTATAATTATTTCAAGGATTTTTTAATATAAAAAACAGAAAATAAAAGGAAGAAGCCAAGGAAGGGAAATGCTTTTAGCAATGATGTGATATAAATAGCAGAGCATATGCAGTAGCTGATTCTGTTGTGCTGGGGTGGGGGTGGGGGTGGAAGGGAGTTATTCAATAACCCGGATGTTTCCTTCTGGCCTCTCTGGACTGCTCCCTCTTTCCTCCCTGAGGAATCTGAGAGTATGATCTTACTCCTTTCTGTCTCTTTCCCCTTCTACAGGAGCCTGTCCCTTGAGGTCTTCTATTCCCAAATGGTTCTCATAAAGAACTGGAGGTCCACCAGGCTCCATGCTGGGTATTGGGGGATCTATCTCTAAACGTCACCATCCCTGTCCTCACAAAACTCGTATGTTAGAAGGGGGGACAGAAAAAGGGAATCTAGTTCAGTCTAGAGAATGTCAAAGAAGGTTTTCTGGGGACACTTTCAGAGAGGGAGGTCACACCCAGGGAGATCTGCATGACGGTTGTAAATGCATGACAACTGTAAATAATTCAGGATTGCTGAGCCATAAGGGCAAGGCAGAGGTACAGCAAGAAACATGCTGGAACCAAACAGCGAGGAACCTTTGGTGCCGGGGTTAATGATGGCAATAGGCAAAGACAAAGAGCCTAGAAAGAGTTACACAGCGAGTGACGTAACCACGTTTGTTATCTGGAAAATCACACAGGACAGCAAAACCATTGACTCCATGAACAAGGGACGACCCCTCCCCGCTCCAGAATCACCATGTCCTCCTCCATCCGGCCCAGACAGCACAGAGCGCATCTCCCTGTTGAAATCACTCTCTGGGCACTGCGCTCTGATTGTTGCCTCCAAAACCCGCAGCCCAAAGAGTTTCAGGTAGCAGGATTTTTATCTGACTGCAGCTTTGCTCTGTCAACAGTTTTAGCAAAATCCCTCTCTACCTCTGCTGGCAGTTTAGAGATAACATTTCCGAAATGGTTTGTGAGTAAAGGACATTGCTGCTCTGGGAAAATGTGTGACTCCCCTGCCAGGAGGAGACAAGAGAGGGCTAAACCAGAGCCAAGGGACACAGTCTGGAAA